CGTTTGCGCCAGGATGCGTTACGTAAAGGAGACGGAATATTAAGTAAAATTGAAGAGATTTGAGAAATTTATTTAAGGAGTTTAAATAGAATATATATTTATTTATTTACTTGTTAATTGCTTTATGTAACTCGGCTTAATGTATAAGTTGGCATTATGCATTAATAGTTAAAATCTGAGAACTCCTAAACCAGACTGATCTATATACATTGGCAGCCATATTAGATTATTAGTCTCTCGTCAGTTGTGAAGAAGGCTTGCGATTGTCGATTTTTAGTTCGTTTGAAAAATGAATCACAGACATTGTATTAGATTTTCCTTTAAAAACAGAATAGAATGTAACTAATAAAATAAAATAAAAATGCTGAGTATTACTTTTAGTGAATACGCTATAAGTACAACACGCGTTTGCGACTGGTACGAGGTTTTCCAAGATGACCGTGAACACACAGGCGGATCTACAGGGGGGCTTACAGGCTGAAGTCTCCTCCCAAAAACTGGTGAAATATAACCATTTCTTATGAAATAAATATTAAAAAAAATATCTAAAAAAGTTATTATTGTTATTCTTATTGTTCGTGTAATATATATTTAATATGACTTGAAGAATCACTTAAATACCATTCCATTTAGCTAGTTAGATAGTTTCTTTGTTTTTTCTCCAAGGTAATAATATATATATATACATACATATATATATATATATATATATATATATATATATATAAAGCTTTCGGGCTGAAGCCACACCCCAAAAAAAAAAAAATTAAATCCTGGATCCGCTAGTTTGTGAACACGTTAATAACCACAACCGTTCTGGGCGCCACACCGCAGTAAAAACCGATGAAAATGCGGAAAATGTGAAAGAAAATATATTTGTGAACAATCACCGAATCGCTAACAGAGAAATTGCTGATTATTTGTGGCTAAGCAATTTACCACCTTGATATTACCCTCTATCCACATTTCATTGCTTGTTCGTGATGTTGACATTAAAGCCACACGTCAACCCGTGATGATATGACGACCGATGAGAAATTTTATACCCTTTTAGATGTTTCCTATGATGACAGAGGAAATGTAAAAAAAAAAAAAAATGATTTAAAAGAAACTAATCCTTACCGAATATCGCTTAGTAATTAAACATTTTAGTTGGTTTAATTTTTCTTATATCAATTACTACTTGCCTATGCTCTATTAAATGCTAAATAATATTATTTTACTAGTCAAAAACCATGTATTATTTTATTATTATTATTTTATTATATAAGTATTATTTAAAAACATTAATAATTTTTTTAACGTTTTAGGGAATCATTCAAATCTTTTAAAAATAAATTCTTTATTTGTACTGTTTAAATATATATATATATTATATTTTTATTTTATTTAGTAGTAACTTTGACTGGACTATGTCTCTATGGTTGTTCTACTTAGTTCTACATTTTTTGTTTACCATAATTGTATTCGCTGAAAGAATATATTTCAGTATGTTTGTCATTTTCAATGTATTTTAATTTTAATTTTAAAAGTTAAGTATTAGATTAGATGTTATTATTGACTGGTTTTAGTTTATTTTTATTTTATTATTGCCTGCATAATTAATGCTCAGACATTTTGTATTTGACTTGTAAATTCAATTTAAAAAAAAATTAAAAATATAAAAATAGATCTATTATATTTTAACAATTTTAATCAAATTAGGGATTTCTTATCTCTAAACTACTCTCGTAATATTCTGTGATACAAAGAAATGAGAGGTATACTTTTTTTTATTTTAAAGGAATACTTCATTATGCGCACTTTACACTTTTTTTTTTAGAGTGAATTAAATTGAGCTGTCAGATCTTTCGATGTGGAACGCTTGGAGTAAAGTTGGCTGGAGTCGACTGATTGAAGTATTTTGGGAGCATATGGATTAAAATATCTCAGATACTAAACTAAAAATCGGACATGGATACTATAAGCGAGGGAATTATTTAGAATTCCATCCTCTCTGTAATGGACTATTATTCAAAAATATATCTTAACTCGAAGCCTTGTTGCGGAGGTGAAAATGGAAAAAAAAATAGTGTCGAAAACCAAATGATAACGAATTTTATTGAAGATATGGATTAAAATGTCTCAGAAACGAAAAATCGGACCTGCATACTCTGAGGAAGGGAATTGTTCAGTATTTCATCTTCTCTGTTATTTATAATTTATATTTCTTTATTATTAATCTCTACTTGTTGATGTTTTCATTTCTATGATGTGGTCTAATGCCACACTCCTGATTTTTTTTATTTAGTAATTTTTCTCTATTATGGTTTTCCCTGATTTAAACGTAATTTAAAATATTTTTCCTAACCTCTCAACCCTAGGTTTGCTCTACCCCGATGGCATGCTTTCTTCCACTTTTTTAAATTTTATCTTCGGTCGTCCTTCTCTTCTTTCTCCTTCTACTCTCAGTTCCATATTTTGTTTTTTTGGAATCTTTCTGCACACTTATCTAAACCACCGTAATATTTTTTTCTTAAATAGCTGCTAGAATGTCCCTTTTCACGTCTATCAGTTCTAGAACTCATTGTTAATTCTTCCTCTTCTGGATTTTCTCGCTGCCCTTCTCCGAAAGTATTTTCAGCGCTAGCAAACTTTTCTGGTATCTGACACGATATACTTCCATTTACAAAAAAGAATAAATAAATTTAAAAAATTACAATGTTGAATTAAGAAACTAATTAATGGAAGTTAATAGTTTCGAATAATTATTTATTACGGATTACTTCTGACTTGAAGAATTATTCCGGATGATAAAACAAAGTGGAAATGTGAAGAAGTTATTAAGTAGGCCACTGTAAAGGAAGGCTTGATTAATTCGAAAACCTTTCACCGGGTATATAGTTGGTCCCGTCTAGTGAGTCATTCTTCAAGAATACCTTTCCCATGACAACTGGAAGGAGTGTTTCCTAACCTTTGTACATGCTATTCTTCCAACGATTTTTTTCTGGAGTTAAGGTCATCCTCAAAATTTTTTAAAAAAATAATAAAACGGAAATTAAATTACTACAAAAACAAAGTAAATAGAAATAATAGTGAACAAAAATGTTTCATATATAATATTCAGATGCTAGATAGTAGAAATGTAATGAACATGTTTGTTAGTGAATGTAGTTATTATATATGATGGCATCTGCAAGATGAACTGAAACCGCCCTGAATGGCTTAGCTGTATCATATTTTTATTATTTTTATTTTCCGATTCTTAGTTCTTCAGAATAAATCCGTTTAGTATTTTTTTCTTTTTTTTTCAGGCGGTTCAGCTTCAATTTTTTTTTCGTCTCCTTCAGCTTCATAATCTTATTCCAAGTATTAACATGACAATTAAAAATAGTTGGTAACTTTGGGACAGCGGGTGAAATTTAGTCTGTTGTGATTCCGTAGTGGATACAACGTGGTGTTGGTCTAGTCTGCAAAACGTGTATAGGCATGTACTACGCTATTACCTTGCGGCAGTTTGAGAACCCTAGTTCACTAAACTCATGGTACAATTAGGTTTTATTTATTTCCATTGCTTTTTTAAAATTTTTGTTTTCATGAAATTACTTAGAGTAGTGTGCCGCAAGGTAGTAGCGCTGTCCATGCTGACTGAACCAACACTGTGTATCCACCGCGGAATCATCACAAACTAAATTTTGACGACTGTTCCAAAGTTACCCCATCTTACAGTATAGTCTTGTCAAGAAACAACGTATGCTTAAACGAAAGAAGTTTGACGAAATATCATAAAATAAACATTGGACCATCTAGATATCAATCTCATTATCTGCGAATTTCCTCTGTAGTATGTTCGCAGAAATTTTACAGGCTGTCCCAAAGTTACCCCATCTTACCCCCAAAGTTACGGCATGTGTACTCGTCACTCTATGTCTATATATCTAATTAAAAAAAAATAAACACTCATGACTTATTTTGTTTGATCATTTTTGGATAAGCGTTTCGGAAATACTTAGCCCTCCTTCCTCAGAATCTAGAATTACATAAGTAACTCATTATAGATTCTATATTGAAACAATCGTTTTCATTTATTAAAAAAATTGAGTTAATTTAAATTCTTTTTAAATCCATTTTAAAAAAAGTGATATTTATTCACACAATTTTCCCTAATATTGGGTTATTCCTAATTTAATTATAGTAAACGAACAAACATTCTTTCTACTAAGAAGGCCAAAATACATTTAGTATTGGGTAGGGTAAGCACTATTTTTTTTTAAATAATTCAAATCTATGTATTCTCTATAAACATTAGTTTTTTATGTTTATTGTTTGTTTCTTATATTTTTTATAAATAAGTTTTTTTAATAGTATTTTTCTTTTGCCAAATATTTTAACATTTTCAAAAGTTTGCTTTCTATTATTTGTTTGTAGATAGTAGAAATGTAGATTATATTATGTGAAAGATGTGTAAATGACATATAGAACCTACACTGTATTGTTTTTGTAATTTTAGATGATGAAATATCCTTGAAACAACCAAATAAAAATCATTCTGTATACTCTATAAATAATTAATAGTCTATGGACATGAAATAAGATAAAACTATGATTAAGGAAGAAGTTTCAAGCAAGAATATAAACTATCATGATAATAAATATTTATATATTATTAGTATTTATATGTTTGTGATATAAAAATGATGTGATGAACTGTGGGATATCATTAATAATAATTATTATAATTAATTTTGTTTGAAAGCCTTCTTAACATATTATTAGGTTTTTTTAAAGGAATAATGAGGCTGCTTAGTGCTTCAATTGTTTCTTATTTAGTACAGAATATAAGGAATCATTGTTTTGTTTATACATTTATTAATTCATTGTATTTCAAACAGATCACTGGCCTGGGAAAATAAGTAATTATATACTCGCCTCAATTGTGGAGAACATACTGGACTTTTCCTACCAGATATTATTATTATTATTATTGAATTTTCGTAATTCATATAGTCTTATTAACATTTTTGTTCCTCGTCTGGTCTTCATCCTCAACTTTTTTTTTCATTCAACTGTAAAATGTATTTCGGACATCAGTTAGTAGACATTAGTCATCCGAGGTGGTACGCCAATTCCAAAAATGAAATATTTCTAAAAGCTAAATTTTAACATAAGTCTTCATACATTATATTAAAAGACCCCTTCTTTTATTGTTCTTTAAGGATTATGGGAAACGCTATAAGAGAAATATTTTAACTGGAGATTTAGGTCATTAAGTCACATCCATTATTATGTAACTTTGAACTTCAAAACAATTAGTTTAATGATGTAAATATTAATGGAGGAAAGAATATTTTTCTGGCTCTATAAATATCTTAAACGGACCAAAAAGAGAATAATGCTGAGAAACTATGTTCCAAGATGGCTGGTAATGTTATGGAAATAAGAATACTAATTTTCTGCTTCGTTTAACGATGCTAATGTCCTGTTTGCATTAGTAATTTATCTGAAACGATTCAAGGTAACTCATTCTTTCTTTATCTATATTGAAACAGCTACTCTAATGCAATGTTTTTTAATCTAATGGTTTGGGTATAGGGTATTCAAGTTCATTCTTTATACGAGCATAATTCAGTGTTCTTTATAAAGTAGAAAGTTTAAAAATAAAACGTATGTATTAAATAATCTGACATGGATTGTATTTAAGTAGGCATGATGTTACACAGCAGTTTTCTGGGCCTTAGATTTTTCATTGTATTTATATGTTTCATGATGATGCGGAACTGCTCATTTTTCATTAAAATTCTCCACAAGCTCTCTTGCACTTCTAGGACCGCCGAAATTAAAGGTGTGTGAATTTAGTTTTTACGCCAAATTGTGATCAGTGCCTTCAGGTTTCTTCACAACTTTATGAAGAAAATAAAGGCTTGTGTAAAGAACCTCTATTAGATTGAATTTATCAAAAACGCAACCCAGTAAACGATCAAAGGACGCCCTTATCATGTTTATTACCAAATATTAACTACTACCATTTGTGGGGACTTTGCCTCTTTTTGGAAAGCATTATATTTGTCGCCAGGTCTAGGCTCCAGAATTAATCCATAAAGATGACGAGATTTTTTATCCTCAGATAGATCATTAAGTTTTAAGGAAATTTCCTAAATCCGCTGATCTCATCTATCTCTTCTCATCATTTTTCCAGTTTAGAGACAGATTCTGTACCATTGATGAGCTCAGCGATGACTTTAGGGGCTCCATACATTTCTCGCTCCTTTTATCCTTTATCAGTTGTACATGGGAGACTTAAGAAGTGATATTGCTTACAAGTTAGAGTAAAGAAATTCTTGTTATTCTAAAAAAGTGCCCTGCCTTACCTTGCCTTTTCATTGACCCATTAATAAAAGTTATTTGTTTTAATTAAAGCATCATGGAATTGTCTTTCAGGATCCTTCTGAGAATGGATTGTATGATGCATTTTAATTTAAAAGTACTGCTTGTATATGTTGTAGAAGACAACTTTTTCTCTTTGACTACCTTTATTTACGTATGTCTGGACACATAAGAACAAAGTCGGGAATTATCAAAATACTCAAAATTTTGATAGTACCATTCTGCAAACCAGACGCGTCCCCAATATTTTACCTTTGATAGGATTTCCGAAATGGATAGAAGTTAAGTCGAAGAACATAGAGTTATAAATACGTTTTCTATCAGCGAGTCTTGTAATATTTCTTATTCATCGTTTAAATTTTATATTAATTCTTTGTAATGGTTTGAAATTTCGAACGAGCTTAAAATAATTTTGATTAGCATTCTCTCATCATCTAATTATTGTCAGAAAGATTCTTCGATCCATCAATTTGATGGTTATCTTAAAACAACTATCGTTAATCAGCGGACCTATCAAACTAACTAGAACATGTCTACTTGTACAAGTTATTGATTACTCAAGTTTTGTAACATGCTCTAGAACCTCAATATCGTTATGAGGACAAGTAAGAGAATGTCTTGTGGCTATTAATAAACGATAAAATAAACGTTCGTGGAATCGATAATTGTCTTAAATAAATAAAGTTTGAAACCGGAACTAAAGCTATGAAAGATTTATTACGGACTTCCAAATTTTATATGTGAATCAACCTGTAATGTGATTATAAATATTTGAAAGCCTTGGCGAATACGAGGGATGCTAATATTATTATTTATGCCAATCGCCGTTTACACATCTTAACTCACAGACCACCGTCCAAACCCAAATTCTGTCTACGTTAGGTCGTTCACAACTCGACTCAGTGCTTATTAACCTTCTAGGTTATTAGATTCATTTATGTTTTTGTAACTGCTTTTTAACATTCTTCACTGAATAATATGTGGGTTTATTTGTAGTAACATTAGAGAGAGAGTAAACCTCCTTTTCTGTTGTCGATGAATTCTACTCCCATACCTCCCCTTCTAATCACTCTTTCTCTCCCTCTCTCTCTCTCTCTCTCTATATATATATATATATATATATATATATATATATATAATATATATATATAGTATCTCTGTTCTTAATGGCCAAACTCTGGAGTAGGGGAGAGCGGGTCATTCTAGACAAAATTTCCAACAAATGAGTTCATTTGATACCTGATTCAATTCCGAACGTAAAAGGAGTTCAGATCAGTTTTGTGTTTTTCTTAAGATTACTGAATAAGAAGGAATTTCTCAAAAACTTCAAGATAATTAAATTCTTAGTACACCATCGTAAAGTGGATACAATTTTCTTTGCGAAAACGGTGATTAAATGTACCAAGATAAATAATAAAAAGGACTTTCAGGAGGTTTAATAACACGCAAAGCCTACCGTTATCTCGAATTATTTCACGAATTGGGATTACAGAGATAAGCTGCTGGGATATGAGTTTTGTAACTGCAGCAGTATAGCGCTCTTGTTAGACCTCCTGAAAGAAGAGATGGGCAAATGGTACTCTGAGTACCGAGTTCGAAGTATTTTATTCAAATTGAATCACTGTTGGAAATTCAATCACTACTTCAGTTAATTTTTTGCCATAATATATTTGAATAAACTATTTGGTACTCAGTACTCAAAATAGCATTTGCCCACCTCTTCCTAAAAATCCCCTTTATCATTGACCTTAGTAAATTTAATCAGTTTTCTCAAAAACATTAATTAAGAAAAATATAAAGATAAACTAATTAATAGACACTATACCATTCCGAGAATATATGGTCTGAGTAAACTACATAAGACAAACACACCACTGAGACCAATAGTCAATAATATTAATGGGATAACTGAAAAACTAGCAAAATTTTTAAATCCATCACTAAATAGTCTTAATAATAAAAATACATATGACGTAAAAAATTCTAGGGAAGTTAAAGATAAGATGAATAATGTAAACAAAATTGAAGATAATGAATCCCTAGTCAGTTATGATGCAGAATCCCTCTTTACAAATATTCCCCTTAAAGAACTATATAAGTTATTGGAAACAAATTGGGAGGAAATCGAACCCCATACGACGATTAAAAATAAAGCACTGTTTATGGAGGGGATAAAATTAATCTGTGACAACGGATACTTCACATACAATAGCAATTTCTTTAAAATTAGAAACGGACTGCTGATGGGAGGAGCTATATCGATTAATCTTAGCGGCATATACCTAAATAGCCTGTTGGATAAAGCTATAAAGAAATTTAATAAAATTCCTAAGATTTTTATAAAGTATGTTGACGATTATAGACAAAAATGAAATAAACATTTTCTTAAACATATTAAATTCATTGTCTGATAAACTTAAATTCACAAATGAAGTGGAAGAAAACAATAAAATTAGATTCTTGGACATGAATATAAATAGAAATGAAGCAGGGATACTAAAAATATCGTGGTGTAAAAAAGTTATTACGAGCAATAGAATACTAAACTGGCATAGTAACCATAATACACAACAGAAAATTAATACAGCTAAAAGTTTGATAGATAGGGCCAAACTAATTACAGACAAAATACATATTAAAGAAGGAAAAACACAAATATATGAAATTCTACTCCAAAATTGGTACCCCATAAGACTGATAAATAAATTATGGCACAAAGATAAAAGAGAAAAAAACATAGATAATTATAAAGAAATAGAGGGTCCAAACATCCATACCAATATAAAAACGTATCAAAACAAGACCAAAAATAAAAAAGCAAATCTAATCACAAACTATTTTAAAGTAGATAATACTGAAAAACATAAGCATAACAAAGAAAATCCTGATCTACAATTTCAGAATGAGAAAAATAAGAATATTAACGCAGACCCCAACCCCAAAAAATACTTTTCGGTCACTTATATTAGAGGTTTAACTGATAAAATTGAAAAAACTTTAAAAAAATATGATATAAATGAAATCAGATTTGGGAAAAAACCTATTAATAAATTAGATAAATTATATATTAGAACTAAGGATATTATTCCAAAAGAAAAACTAACTAATATTGTTTATAAAATACGATGCGAGGATTGTGAAAATAAAGCATATTACGGACAAACCTCACAATGGTTTGAACGTAGGATACAGCAACATAGACAAAATTGCAGGTCTAAAACGACAAAATCAAAATTAGCCACAGGATTATCGCAGCATACCACAAAAAATGGACATAAATTTGATTTCGGTACTGCTTCCGTGTTGCATAGAGAACAAAATATTGGGAAACGTAGAATCATTGAATCTATTTTTATCACTAAAAATCTAAAACATTCAGTGAATCAACAGACAGATGTTGATAATTTAAACACGTTTTATGCTAGCACAATTGACAAAATTAATATATAACATACTGATATAAAACAGCTGATCACTAACCCCTCCACCCCACTCCTTATGTAAGTAAATCCAGTCCTGTATGAATGCCCTATTGAAGAACAATACTTTCTTGATACCGTCTGCAAATAGAGGTATATAAATCGAAAATTAAAAATTTTAAATTAATTATAGCAGTCTATTTTTAATTTATAATTATATATTATAATTTTTAGAAACCGAAAACGACATTCTTTGAAATAAA